ATTCCTGCTAGTGACCTAAGTGGGTCACTAATCACCCCAAATACCACCCATTCATCCAGGTAGGCAAGACCCTCACAGGGTTGGCAAGAACCACCTGAAAGAAAATTTCTTCCATAACTGGAATTTCCCTGTTGCAGTTGTGTCTCTTGCTTCTTGTCCTGACCCTGTGCACCTCCAGTAAAAGTCTGGCTGCATCGTCTCTCCACACTCCATTGGTTATTGAGGAAACAAAAAGATCTCCCCTGAGCATCCTCCTCCTTCATCATGTCCTCCAGCCCCCTCACTAGGTCAGTAACCTCTCCCAGATGTGCTCCAGGACAGCAATTAGTTCACTCTTTTCTTCTCTTGTGGCATTCATTTGAGTAGCTGTAAATGGAAAGGACCCATGAAATGGAGGCCAGGACAAACTGCTAGATTTACTGCAGGAGAGCACCCAGCTACTGCTTCATTGTTGTCTGATCAAATTTGATGCCAGTGGAAAACCTGGCAGCAGTTGATCAGACCCTTGTCATTACCTGTAACCAGAGCTGGACAGAAGGACACATCTAGCCCATTCAAGGAAGAGTTAATACGTGAGTTCACAAAGCATTCAATGGCATCTTTGTCACAGTTGCAGAGGAACTGCTCACAGGGATCCCCAGACTCTGCAAACAAAATAAAAAGCCAAACAAGGTTCTATTGAAATATCTTTTTAGCTTCCTGCTTTTCCCTCCCTGTAAGGTTCATGTCTATATTCACTACTGCAAACCTGCTTCTACTGTGCTTCTTCCCATTAAACACAATCAAGTTTCATAGTCTGGCCATAAACTTCCTGCCCGGGCTGGTTTATTCTGCAGAGTAGTGAGGAATACAGAGCAGTGCTTGGCTGCCTCTGGTTTTTCCATGGCAAACTTAACCCAGCTGATACTGAGTTAGACATTTCACAGGCTTCATTAAAATATTCCTCCTAACCTCAAGAAGTCCACAAGCCAAACCTTTCATGTAAGATGTGTTTTGCTCCTTATAAAGGACATGAAACAGTTTTCCTGAATTTTTTTTTTCCCACTTCAAAACCTTCTACCTTTCAGCATTAAAAAAAAACAACATTGATCTTTTGGAGCTGCCACACATTTCTCATTTTTGATGGGGACTATATTCTTTTTATTCCTTCTTTTTTGTTGTTGTTAGTTTAAACAGAACTTTTCCTGATTATTAGGTATGGAAAGAGATAAAAAGACCCTATTTAAATGCACTTGGGCTTTATAGATTGACCTAAATAGCAAAAATGGGTTAAATTTGAAACAAGAAAAGGAAATCAGATCATACTGTTGTTTAAACAAGCTGTAAAGGTATTAGGTTTTGGGATTCTGCTCCTCTTTGCTGGTATTCTTAAATCATGTTCTACCATATAGTCTTTTCTGTAAGTGAGTCAATATTTGCTGAAAAACTGTATTAAAATTGATTAGGCATTAAGGAGCCCCACTCCACACTTGCCAGGACTGTATTAGTATTGCATAGAGTAACTCCTATTATAATGGCTTGGTCTCTGCTCTCGTTGGTGATACTGTTGTATCTGAGTATTCCATATAACCCTGTGAACAAAGAACTTGATCCCTCAGAGTGTATAAAAATCAATCCTTGAAGCTTCTGAAGGGAACTTTTTTTTCATATCTTTCCCCAGCATCTGATGAATTTCTGATGTGCAGAGAGATCTCGAACAATGCTTAGTGGTCCTGCAAAGTCAAGAAAACATCAGCAGGGTTTTGCCTGTTAGAAGAGCCCTGGCAAGTTTCTAGTTATTTGACTTCAGTCATCCTGCCTAGTGGGCTTTGATACTTCTGTGAGTTCCTGTTTCTATTCACCCCTGATCAGAACAACCAAACCCTCAAAAATGCACAACAGGAGGTTGTTTCTGTTTAATTTATATATGACTTCTGGTCATGGTGAGAATTCTGTATGATACTCTTGCAATGGGTTGGTCTTACCACAGGTCAGGTTTTCAGTAGAGCAGCTGATGTCTGTAGAAATCCTTGATGGATCCCATGAGCACTCCATCTCCACTGCTTCCTCATAGCATTTGCGGTGCTGGAAACAGCAGCTTAAAAAATGAAATAACACAAAGTTCACACAATTTTAGTTTTAGTCCAAGATCAGACCTCAATGCTGTCATGCAAGTCTTCCACAGGAATGCAAAAGATGCCAAAAAGAGAAAAAGACAACCTCAGTGTTGTTCCTAGACACAAGAAAGGCTGGTGACTGCTTTTCCCTGAGTCAGCCTAGTGGAATAGATAGATCTGCATGCAAACCACAGTGATAGGAGCAGGTCTGCTTGCTGTGGGACACCACACTTACATTTCCCTCCATCTGCAGTGCCTGGGTTCTTACAGCTCAGCTCTCTCAGCTCTCATGGCTTCAGCCCTGCCACAACCTTTCTCACTGCAGACGTGAAGAACTGCACCGAACCTGGCAGTCATGGAGTGTTGATGTTTCTGCCACACCTTGTGAATCCTTGTGTCTCATTGAGACTGCATAAATAGGAGCAGTGTTATCCTCCATTTCTTGTACTTTCCTTTCTATGCAACAATCAGAGTTAAAGTGCAGCATTTAGCTACGTTAAAGGGCTGTGAAATATTTCTCTCACAATGGAGTAAAGCAGCTTTCTCCCACCACCACACAACAAAGGCAGTCAGAAAGCTTCCATTTTCCTGCACCCCCAGCTCTCATGCAAACCTCAAATGCCTGCATGACCACTTTAGCTGTGAATAACAATGGAAATTCAACCCCAACAAGCTCTTCATCAATCATCTTTCGTATTCAGCTGTTTTTGAGCAAGCAAGGCATCTACTTTCCTGTTATAACAACATCTGTGTGTACTGACATGGCTATAAATGAAGTACCAGGAGAGGACTCAGTCATCATTTACCCCATATAAAATCATTACAGAAATTAAACAGAGACTTGCTGTTAGATTTAGTTTGAAATATCCTCATTGCAGAGAAACAGAGTCAGAGCATGGGACTTTCACTGAGCTGCCATTGGTCTTGACCATGCCAAATGCAAAGACAACATTAACACTCAAACTCAGCATCTGCTACCAGGAAGGATTAAACAGGGATTTAACTATAACTAGTGAAATATCTCAAGACCCACTTCTGTCTTTGCCTGGGCTCTAGTGAGGTGTCAGCACCTGAAAGTTCCTCTGACAGCATAATTACTCTAATACAAACTCCCTGCAGTTGTTGTTCGTTTAGAGCATCACAATTGCATCAACACTTAATGCAACAGTTAATCAGAAAATTTGCTTGCCTTCCTCTTGTGAGCAGGGCATTATAAGACATGGGTTGTCTTCTGGGCGTGCTTCTCTTTCCCCGTGGACTATGGAGCAGGCTCCTAATTTAGGAATGACAATTAGCTACTCTAGGAAATGGAAAAAATTTGGCTTATGGGCACAAACATTTTCTAATGCCTTATATGCCTACATTTTTTATGGAATAAAAACTTCAGTGATAAAACCCAAGGTTTTCAAAACTAGTTTGTAAGAAATAGTCAGTGAAAAAAATTGCAACCCTGTGGGAAATGTGACTGAGAAAGACATGTAGCAGCCACTAGTTTGCAGGCTCTCTTGAACCAAGGGCATATCAATAACCCATTTCCATTTACTGCAAAGTGCAGTGGGGTTGCCACTTTGCTAAGGAAACCTTATCACAGGTCTGCTAAAAATTTGTAAACACAAAGTGACTCTGTGGAAGTTTCTCAGGGCAAAACTGCTGATAGATCACTCTGCTCTTTCTGCATTTCTGCTGCTCTGCATTAAAATAAAGCTGAGGAAGTGAAAGCCCAGGTGCCCAGCTCTTTGGGTATCAGTCCATTGAACTGACTAGAGCTCTTGTTTCAGCATGTCATCATGATTGTGCAGAAAACCTTTCATAAGAAGCCCCATGGCTTTTTTCCAGTAGCAGGGTTAGATCTCCATTTTCCCAGCCATCCCATGCTGGAAAGTGGAAGGATTGATTTCCATCTAGCTATAGGCATTAGCCCTTTCTAAGTCACTGCTGTCTTCACTCAGGCAATGAATAAATTACATTACAGGAAAAACTTTTTTTCTATTTAGACACAGATGGATCTTGATTCCTTTTGAATTTCGTTTCATACCTCCTGCTGTGCAGAAAGTGAGCAACCATTTGATTGTCCCAGCCTGACACTACATTTTTCTTACCAGCCCAGCCAGGACCTGGGGCAGCATTTGTCCAAAGCACAGAGAGGAGTTTGGATGTTGTTTTTAGCTAGTGCATGCAACTGGAAGAGCCATTGAGCTACATTGTTCCTCTCTGTGGCTGGATGGTCCAGCACCTTACAACCTCTGCACCTGCACACATGCTCAGGGCAAGATCAACTTAACCTCTGAACTGCCCCTTGAAGTCATGTTTAGCTGTGAGATAAAATTCTCCAGTACAAAGAAATTAATGAGGTTTTGCTGACAAAGATCTGATTAGGATTTAGAGAGCTCTGGTTAAGACATGCCAAGGAGATATATGTGGTGTTCACCTCTACCGAGGGCTGGAGCACCTTTCCTATGGAGACAGGCTGAGAGAGCTGGGGATGTTCAGCCTGGAGAAGACCTCAGGGGGACCTTTTAGTGACCTTCCAGTGCCTGAAGGGGCTACAGAAAAGGTGGGGAGGGGCTTTTTAAAAGGTTGTGTAGTGAAAGGATGAGAGGTAAGGCTTTTAAATTGGAAGAGGGTAGATTTAGGTTAGACATTAGGAAGAAATTCTTTAACATGAGAGTGGTGAGACACTGGAATGGGTTGCCCAGGGAAGCTGTGGAAGCCCCATCCCTGGAAGTGTTTAAGGTCAGGTTGGATGGGGCTCTGAGAAACCTGGTCTAGTGAGAGGTGCCCCTGCCCATGCAGAGGGGTTGCAATCAGATGATCTTTGTGGTCCTTTCCAACCCAAGCCATTCTATGATTAAGTGATTCTCTGATTAGTGTCCACTTTCTGTAACCAGTTTAAACCAGCTGTGCCACCAGAGATGTACTGGCAGAATTACAAGCAGGTGTGGGGGACTCTGCTTTTACCTGTAGGATAGGAGCATAAACAGAGGCTGTGAACTATGAGAGAAAAGAATTAAGTGGATCATTACATGACCACCTTCATCTGTTTCCAAGCCATGCTATAAGCCAACCGGTGCAGGATTTTGGCCCAGCAAACTGCTAGTGCTCACCAGCAGGTAGGGATCACACAGGACAGAGCTGATAAAACAGAGCTGAGGGGATTTTTTAGGACATATGAGATATTTAGAGTTGAAGTGTGTCATGACTAGGTTGAACAGAGATGGATCGTGTTGGACTTCTTTACTCTCTGAATAAACCTTCTATTTTTTTACAGCTGTCCTCAAATCATTAAGGCATATGTTGTGCTTCAGGTCATGAAGAGCATGAAGGCACTGAGAGCCAGTCAGAGCAGAAGTGGACATCTCATGAGTAAAACTTACTCATCAGCTTCATCCACGGGGAGCCCTTCCATCTCAAACCGGCAAGAGCAACCATAGTCTTCAAAATCCCTGGGACAAAAACCAGTGACACACTTCAGTTTGTTCACAAAGCTGAGCAGGGCAGGGAAGTTAGTGAAGATGGACTGTAACCAGGTGAAATGAGAACCCAGGCAGTCTGGAAGAAAACAGCCATAAAATGCATGGTAAATGGAGGTGAGCCAGGTACGGGTCACACATGGGTGACACGTGAACATGGAGTCTAAACAAGGCATTAACACAATACTTAAAAGTCAGCAGTGTTCAGTGTTATATCAGTCTTTGGAGAATATGTGCAGCCTCAACAATCCCTGTTCCTTTTCAGTATACATAAAAGCAAACCTCATAGGGTTTCCATTCAGTGCTCAAGTACAGCTGGAACAAAAACTTACCAAAAAATAATGCAACGCTTTCCACATTTTGAAAGACTCCATTGAAGAATGTGGCATTGTCTAAATAAACAAACAAAATAATCGAAAAAATAAACAAACCAGTCTTTTTTTTTTTAAAACAGTAAAAGACAAGAACTGTCCTCAGACTAGGACAGTTGTCTTGTTTTAGTTTTTCAACTGTTTTGGGATAAGAGTTACTAGCTCTTTGCTAACAGCACCCTTTCCTGGAGTACAAGTGGTTTCCCCTCTGCCATGCAATATTGTAGAAAATAAAGCTTAAACAGTCCTTACTCAAGATCCTTTCAGGTGTGTCAAGAAGTTCTGGCAGGAACACTGGTGGCTCCAAGTCTTGGCCACCTACCTCAGCAAATGGATTTGAGAAGAAAAAGTCTTAAAAATAATAATAAAAAACAAACTAGAAAACAACATACCAACAGCATATACTTCTTTATGACACAGACACTGGATGTTTTCAATGCCTCCCTGCACTGGCAAGCAGAGTTGTGAAAGCCATGAGATACTTGTTTAGCTCCACATGCACCCAGGAAAGCCCAGACACATCCTGGTCAGTCACACGGACTTCAGCTTAACAATCAGCCCTCTGTTAAACTAAGGTGCTGCCAGTGAGGCTGTGCTAACCCTTGTGTTCCTCTGCTCTTCTGAACACTAGCACTTGCTGGGATAAAAATTGAATTGTTTAAAATTGTTTTAGTTGTCCAACTGCTTTCATTGTCCCGTATGTTTCTACTCTAGCCCTGTGCTCCTTACTTATTTGAAATCAAAATGTCTGCTTTTTTCTGAGGCCTTCTTGCCTATTGCCTTATTGTCTCTCTTCATAGCACTAGTTCTTTCTTAACTCTTTGTCCTTTTGTAGTTGCTGTGCTACAGATTTCCACACATAATTTTTTTTTTTTTTTTCTATTTGCCATGCCTTGAATTAGGGTGAAATCTAGTATTTGTTCTCTCCCTTCCCATTTTTTTTCCCATTTCCTGCCTTCTGGATAGAACTGGAACTGGCTGGATGGTAGCTCTGAGAGTGGTGATTAATGGCTTGATGTCCAGATGGAGACCTGTGATGAGTGGTGTTCCCTAGGGGTCAGTACTTGGACCAATGTTATTTAACATCAGTGACATGGACAGTGGAATTGAGTGCACCCTCAGCAAGTTTGCTGATGATACCAAAGTGTTTAGTAAGGTCAACACCCTAGAGGGAAGGGATGCTATTCAAAGGGACCTTGACAGGCTGGAGAGGTGGGCTCGTACAAACTTCATGAAGTTCAACCAGGTGAAGTGCAAGGTCCTGTATATGGGTGAGGGCAATCACAAGCACAAATACAGACTGGGCAGAGAATGGATTGAAACAGTCTGGAGGAGAAAGACTTGGAGGTGTTGGTTGATGAGAAGCCCAGTGTGAACCAGGAATGAACACTTGCAGCCCAGAAAGCCAACTGTGTTCTGGGCTGCATCAGAAGAACCATGGCCAGCAGGTCAAGGGAGGTGATTCTGCCCCTTTACTCAGCTCTGGAGTGCTGTGTCCAATTCTAGAGCCCCAGACATAAGATGGACTTGCAGTTCCCGGAGGAAGTCCAGAGGATGGACATGAAAATAATCAGAGGGCTGCAGCACCTCTCCTATGAAGACAGGCTGAGGGAGTTGAAGCTGTTCAGTCTGGAGAAGAGAAGACCCTGGGGAGACCTCATAGCCACCTTCCAATACCTGAAGGGGATACAGGAAAGCTGGGGAGGGGCTTTTTATAGGGGCTGGTAGTGAGAGGCCAAGAGGTAATGGATTTCAACTGGAGGAGGGGAGATTTAGGTTAGACATCAGGAAGAAATTCTTTAGTGTGAGGGTGGTGAGACACTGAGATGGGTTGCCCAGGGAAACTGTAGAAGCCTCAGTCATAGAAGTGTTCAAGGCCAGGTTGGAGGGGGTCCTGAGTGACCAGATCTAGTGGGAGGTGTCCCTGCCCATGGCAGTAGGGTTGGAACTAGTTGATCTTGGAGGTCCCTTCCAACCCAAACCATTCCAAAGTTCTATGATTTTATGATTCTGTACAATTTTAAGAGAGAGAGTGTGTTATTTTAGATTTATTTAAACTTGACTTTTTATTTATTGATTTAAAAAGTCAAGATTATTTATTGGCTCAAAGATGCAAAAACTCAAGGAAAACAGATAAATACAATTCATGGCATAACATGTTTCAGAATAACTGGCATCAGGAAATCTGTCTATTTTCTCTACAAAGTTTCTGGGACAGAGGTGGACGTTACTTTGTTAATCTGCTGTGTTTTCCTGCAATACAGGTATAAGAGAGTAAAGCAGAGTCTTGGTTTCTAGATCCAAGGCTTAACTCTGTATTTAACAAAGGATTAGGAAAAAATAAGGCATTTTTTAGATCACATATAATGGCCTCTACACGGGATGCCTACAGCTTTGGCGAAGTGAACAAGATGTTCATGTTAACAGTTGGATGCTTCCAGCAATTAATTTCTCAAGTTTAGTGGCAGAATATGGATATGGGATTGAGGGAGGTAGGAAGCAGTGATTTCTCTTACATTACTTTTTCCTTTGCTCAAAACACAAAGCTTTTAGATCAACAACAATCCATCAGAAGTGTCCTCCATTACAGCAGGTCTAAGGGGTACAAGATGCTTTACACAAATCAGAAAAGGTCTCCTGATAAAGGCTGGCCTTTTCCAGAGCTGAAACAGGTCTGTTGAAAGCTTGATGGCCATGAAGAGCTCAGATTTGGTTTCCCTTGCAAAATAAATAGCACTGAATGCTCTGTGTTTGTACACATGCTTGCTGAAGAAAAACTGCCTCTTATTTTGTGACCTAAAGCCTGTATTTCCTCTGCAATGACAAACATCTTTCCCCCAAGCCAAATTCTATTAAGTGCATCTAGAGCCATGTTTTGACATACTGCATAACACCATGGCTCAAACTCACTGTCTGTTGATGAATAGCCATGGATCATTTAATCCTTTCAGCAAAACTCTGGTAAACATGAAAATCTTATTGAGTTGAAGTGAGACAGAGAAGAGAATTGATAAAGACACATTACAGAACTGTTAGAAGTTGTGATTGCTCCAGCATCCTTCTTTTGCACTTGGTTATTCTCAGCAAACTTAATTTGCACACAACCCATTAACACAAATGTTTGAAGCTCTCCTGGAGCAAAATCTCTGCCACAAGGTCAGCAGCTTGGTAAACCTTTGGCCCTTCTAATCCTTTACTTACAAAAAGTGATATTTCTAATTATCATAAATCAAGATTAACAAACCAATGTTTGCCAACAAGATTGCTAAATTTTGTTTAAATTGAAGAGGAAGGGACAAAGAGAAAATAATTTCTGGGTTACTTATTCTGTTTTCTTCTTTTGCTATCATTTTTGGGTTATTGATCCTATATCATTCCCTTGATAGCCAGTGAAAGAGAGCACTACAAAAATCAATCCTTAAAACCTCAGAGGGCTCCAGGAAGGACCAATTATTTCACCTTTCTCTAAAACCTGCTAAATGACTTGGCACTTGTCTGGGGAGACTTGTATGATATATCAGCTCTTGGGCTTCCCAGTTGTGTATCTTATCCACAGACTTTCTTTCAACATTCACAGAATGACAGAATTACTGAGGCTGGAAAAGACCTTTAAGATCATCAAGTCCATTTTATGATCAACACCACCACATCTCCAGACCATGGCACTAAGTACCACATCCTCCAAGGATCATGACTCCACTACTTCCCTAGGAAGTCCATTCCAATGTCTGAACACCCTTCCCTTTCCATGAGGAAGTACTTCCTAATATCCAACCTAACCCTCCCCCAGAGCAGCTTCAGGCCATGGCCTCTTGTCTTGTTTCTTTTTGCCTGGAAAAAGAGCCCAGCCCCCACCTGACTACAGCCTCCCTTCAGGTAGTTGAAGAGAGTGAGAAGGTCCCTCCTGAGTCTCCTCCAGGCTAAACAACATAATTTCCCTCAGCCTCTCCTCACAAGCCTTTCCCTCTAGTCCTTTCACCAGCCTCATTGCTCTCCTCTGGACCTGCTCCAGCACCTCAATATCTTTCTAGAAGTGAGGGGCCCAGAACTGCACACAATACATGTAAAACAGTTCCTGGACTGTATCTGTAATGTTGCTACTCTGACAATGCTTTCTGAAGTGGTACCTGAAAAAAAAACATCAGAAAAACATCAGTGTATCTCTAGTTGTTATTTGCAGTCATGGGTAAGTAAAAAGTAATAACATATGGCATGGATGAGTCATTATAATCCTCAAGGAGCAGAAACCTTGATTGTGTCGGGAAAGTCAGGGTGCAGCAAATCCAACAGATTTGATTTCTTCAAGGAAAATCACATTTAGCTCCTCACAAAGACGTTAGTTCACCAACAGAAATTCCCTTCTGTTGCAAAGCAGAGATCAGCAGAATAGATCCTGCATAAATATAAATCAATAATCCTCTCCAAACCTAGGAATGGTAGCATTTTATAACCTTTGTACTGAGAGTGTACCTGGCTGGGGATAAATAACCTAAAAACTATGTCACAGCCTTTTGAGGTTTGGGGGAAATCTCTTTCAAACATGATATCAGAAAAAAAAATTGGAGTGTCCTGAGGTTTCTGAGTGCACCAGGTATTGCCAATATATTTAGTCCCCTTTACACCTGGGAACCTCTTTTTTTTTTTTTTTATGACTAAAAGGTGTAAATATTTTGGCATTCTCTATCACTGCAGTGGGAAATGTTAATTTTCTTACAGATTTATATTCATATCATAGGAATCTTGAAGTTCAGCTTCACCAATACATTTTAGCACTGTGTTCTGTCTTAGTCTTGTTTCTTTGGTGACTTCTAATGCCCTTAGAAGAGAAGCAGTGGGTGAAACTGAGATAGGTCAGTGCAGAGTTTTGTCTATGCCAATGTGATGAACTTTCTTTTCCTTTAGAAATAAAAACATGGAGTGACCAGAAATGGTGTTAGACCTTCTTAGAGTCCTCTTCATGAAAACAACACTGCTCCTAATGACATTTCTACACAGTGCAGGAACAGCAGAAATGTGAAATGTTTGCTCATCCCTGTCACTGGGAAGCTTGTTGACCCAGGACAATAAAATTTAAAGAAGTGTCTAAGAAAACATGAAGGAAAAAAAAAAAAAAAAGCTGTAAATCGTAACATTTGAATGAGGAACTTTAGCTGAACCTCAAGTACAGTTCAGGATGCACTAACTGGTTTGGAGAATTTAGGCAATACACATGTAATTAATGAGTAGAGACTCTTTATGTGTAACTCTTTATTAATTACACATGTAATTAATGAGTAGAGACTCTTGTAAATTTTTTGGAGTCCAGAGAATTTAAATAATGACTAAATGCTGGCAGAAGGGAAATAGTAATTTTTAGTTATATTTTTGAGCCTGTTAAATATTTCTTCTTTCACTACAAGTCCTGAGAAAAACGTAAATACTCTGCAGATAAACTCATTTAAGTCCATTTGGATGTTAAACAACAAATTTTGAGGGGTTAGAGTGTGCTTCTAAAGGAGTGTTTCCAAATGCACATACTTAAAATAGTATCATAAAAATCCATTGCCACTTACCAGTGTAGAACACCATTGACATAGACACCAGCAGAATTACAATCATTTTTTTTTTTTGTTGTTTTCTCCAAAGACTGGTACACCTGTTGAGTTAAGTAGAGTATTAGGCAAGATGTTATCTCTTGAATCTGAAAATTAGAAGACAGCAGCTTCGAATAATCACACTTTTGTAGCCTGGTCATATTTTTTCTTGATGCAATTCAGATTTTACCCTTATTACAGTAAATGCACGTATTACAGCAATGATGAGCCTTACGTATCCTTCAAATTATACCAATGTCCTCTATAAACCAGACTAAGAGTGTTTATTTTGGTATTGCTTTAGGTGAGCCAACAGGCTCTGCTGAAGAGCCATAGACATGGAAAGTCCATCTAACAATAGAATGATGCACTTGAAGTTTCTTTTGTTTTGCAAACTGTTTTCACACCTTACATGGTCTAACATGATGTTTAAATTCTTCACATTCTGTGAAATTCAGATGTTCTGGTACATTGTGTAAATTAAGAGACATTCTGGGATTACATCTATTGAGCCCAGTTAATAACAGAATCACAGAATCACAGAGTGGTAGGGGTTGGAAGGGACCTCTGGAGATCATCTAGTCCAACCCTGTTGTTAGTGCAGAATCTCCTAGAGCAGATCACATAGGAAAACATCCAGGAGGGTTTTGAATGTCTCCAGGGATGGAGACTCCACAACCTCCCTGGGCAGCTTGTTCCAGTGCTCAGTTACCCTCAGAGTAAAGAAGTATTTTCTCATATTGAGGTTATATCTCCTGTGTACCAGTTTGTGATCATTGCACCTTGTTCTGACTCTGGAATCTGCAATCCATTAGTTTGCTTCCCATCACAAAAAAAAATCTCCAATTTTGTAGTAAAACATTTATACTAATCTGCATTGAGAACGATCTAATGTATCATATATCTTCTGAATGATAAACACTATTTTTTTTACATCTTTGAGTTCTGGTTGTGCTTGTCCTTGCAGAAATGTGAGTAAAGAATTCTTCTGAAGCTAAAAGCATTGCACTGGTATGCATTAAATAACTGATAATGGTTTGGTTTTGAACTACAGTCATCATTTACCCTAAATGTAGAATGATTTTTTGAGTAAATCAGGCATGGACTATCTGTTAAATATCTGCTCCTCTGAGCTCAAATATAGCATTCAGTTCTATTAAAAACTTTTAATATTTCATTGGGAAATTAGGTTATAAATAAAAGAGCTCTAAATACCTATTGTCTACTATCCCAGATTTCTTTCCTACACTTTATTCTACAACTCCACAGTCCCAAACAGCTTTTTTCTACATGGTTTTCTTCCTGACTCCTGTATTATAGAGTACATCTAGAATGGCTTACCTGGAGGGATATTATTCGAAAGCAGTTGGATGGAGGACAAATGGGTTTCAATAAAGTCAGTACTAAGTTATTTATACCCTCTTGGATATACACCTCACCCATGTGATCACCACCATTATCAAACCCACTTCAACATTTATTAATTAATTCTTCCATGAGATTCCTTACAGTCATTATGCCCACAGTGTATCTTAGTAATATAGCTTCAGCCATGTAAAGGGTGTGTACTGAGAAGCCTGTTCTGCAGGTGCATTCACCATATAGCAACTTCCCTTAATACTCTTGGCTGTAATTAAATAACAATCATCTCATTGTTATTAATCACTCATAAAATCTCTAGGGCATGTGAATATGGCTTTAATAACTTAGCAAGAGGTAGTGTTCAGTGATGAAAGATGAGTGAAAATTTATACAGCTTTAAACACTGGCATTCTTCTGGGTTAAGAAGTCTGCTCTCATCTCTCCACAGTGGCTCCAGTCCAAAGCTGAGTGAAATCCAGGGGAAGGTTGAGTCAGTGAACATTGGGAAGGCTTCTCCTCATTGGGAAGATCTGCTTTCTGCCAGGGTCAGGCACAGCTAAACTTCAAAGATGCCATCAACAAAGGCATACTGTCTGCTGAGTTTTAGCATAGAGAAATGAAAGGTCTAATAAATTTGGAATTGTAAAAATACTTGTGTGAACAAAAGGCTTGGGTCCTCCAAGGCCTGTGAACTATATTGTCTTCAGAAAGGCCTTTGGTGCTGCCTCCCATAAGATCTGCACAGAAAAGCTGTTGATATATGGGCTGGATGAGCCCAGTGAGGTGAGTTGAAAACGGCTGAATGGCAGGGCCCAGAGTGTGGTGGTCAGAGGCACCAGGTCTGGTTGGAGGCCAGTGATTAGTGGTGCACGTCAGCTATCAATACTGGGTCCAGTCTTGCTTTACTTCTTCATACTTCTGGATGCTGGGGCAGAGTGTACCCTCAGCAACTTTGCATCTAACACCAAACTAGGAGGTGTGGATGATCCACCAGAGTGTCACACTGCCATCCAGAGAGACCTTGACAGGCTGGAGATATGACCCAACAGGAGCTTCACAAAGTTCAAGAAGTGCAAAGTCTGGCACTGGGGAGGTACAGCCCCATCCATCAATACATGCTGGAGGCCACCCAGTTGGAAGGCAGCTTGGCAGAAAAGGACCTCGTGTCCTAGTGGACACCAAGTTGAACTTGAGTAAATAGCATGTCCTTGCAGCAAAGAAGGCTAAGGGTACTCTTGGCTGCAGTATTGACAGCAGATCAAGGGACTGGTTCATTCCCCTCTCCTCAGTACTAGTGAGGCCACACCTGGAGTGGTGTGTCCAGTATTTGTCTTCTCAATATGAGATAGACATGGACAAACTTGAGGGAGTCCAAAGAAGGAATAAAAAGATGATTAAGAGACTAGAGGACAGATTCAGGACAGATCCTCCTAATCCTTGTGCAAGACACCCCAAAGTACGCGACACCTTCTAATTCTCTCCCTGTGAACACAACTGGGCCAAGGCCTGTGAACTATATTGTCTTCAGAAAGGCCTTTGGTGCTGCCTCCCATAAGATCTGCACAGAAAAGCTGTTGATATATGGGCTGGATGAGCCCAGTGAGGTGAGTTGAAAACGGCTGAATGGCAGGGCCCAGAGTGTGGTGGTCAGAGGCACCAGGTCTGGTTGGAGGCCAGTGATTAGTGGTGCACGTCAGCTATCAATACTGGGTCCAGTCTTGCTTTACTTCTTCATACTTCTGGATGCTGGGGCAGAGTGTACCCTCAGCAACTTTGCATCTAACACCAAACTAGGAGGTGTGGATGATCCACCAGAGTGTCACACTGCCATCCAGAGAGACCTTGACAGGCTGGAGATATGACCCAACAGGAGCTTCACAAAGTTCAAGAAGTGCAAAGTCTGGCACTGGGGAGGTACAGCCCCATCCATCAATACATGCTGGAGGCCACCCAGTTGGAAGGCAGCTTGGCAGAAAAGGACCTCGTGTCCTAGTGGACACCAAGTTGAACTTGAGTAAATAGCATGTCCTTGCAGCAAAGAAGGCTAAGGGTACTCTTGGCTGCAGTATTGACAGCAGATCAAGGGACTGGTTCATTCCCCTCTCCTCAGTACTAGTGAGGCCACACCTGGAGTGGTGTGTCCAGTATTTGTCTTCTCAATATGAGATAGACATGGACAAACTTGAGGGAGTCCAAAGAAGGAATAAAAAGATGATTAAGAGACTAGAGGACAGATTCAGGACAGATCCTCCTAATCCTTGTGCAAGACACCCCAAAGTACGCGACACCTTCTAATTCTCTCCCTGTGAACACAACTGGGCGGGAGCTCTCAGCCCATTCCAAGGCCTGAGCTGGTTGTGACCCACCCCAGTGCCAGGCACGGCTCAGGCACACCCCAGTGCACTACAGAGCTGAGAACTTTGCCCAAGGACTTGTATTCCTGCACGGAAAACATAGGATGATTTCTAGTAAGGACAAAAGTGTTCTTTGCCATGGAGGTCACTGCTACAACTTGGAGGCTATTAAATTCATTAAAGTAATAGTAAACCAACAGTTTCAAAAGGAAGCCTTTTCAAAAAATATTTTTATTTTGATATTGTCTTTTCAGTCAAACCTAAAAACATCCAGAAACTCAAAATTACTTTAATATTTTTTTCCCCTTATGTTCCTGTTTTCATGCCCTTCTTCCTGAGCTCCCAGAAAACGTAATGAGAAAAATATAAGAAAAAAGTATAGTTGCTTTTTTATATATATGATGTCTTCAGGCTTTAAGATGCTTTTGTGAGATTTAAGGGCAGCAGTTCACGAAGAAGTAATTCACCCAGCTCTTCACAGCAGAACTGATCCCGCCTTGGATGAGGAGAGGTGCTGCAGATCAAGATTGCTCCCCAGCATTGCAGCACCATGGCTGTGTTAATATTTATATCTTCACTGTATTAATGTTCCTCCTTCTTCCACTGGTCTAACTTCCAATATCAACTGTAAGTGGTACTATTCCAGGCTATCCTGCCCTTTGATAGGACAGAAATGCTTTCATCATGCTATTGGGCACACCTGTAAAATGTAGTTTGGCAGAGGGCTGCTGCATGGGGACAATATTCTAGTGGTGCTCTCTTTCTCTTTAGCTTAATACTTTGAACACGTATTTCTTCAGTGAAACATCAATGTGCACCATCTGCAGGGCAAATTCTCTTTTTTTTTAATATTAATGGCTTGATGATGTACTTTGGGTTGATAATAGCATCACTATGCTGCAGTGTAGTAAAATAGGGGCCATGAAGATGATCAGAGGGCTGGAGCATAAAGGGCTGGATCACCTTTCCTGTGAAAACAGACTGAGAGTGTTAGGGTTGCTCAACCTGCAGATGAGAAGGATGCAGGGAGACCTCATAGCACCTTCCAGTACCTGAAGGGGCTACAAAAAAGCTGAGGAGGGACTTTTTACAGTAGCATGTCATAAGAGGACAAGGGGTCATGGATTTAAACTGGCAGAGGGGAGATTTAGGTTAGACATTAGGAAGAAATTCTTTCCTGAGAAGCTGGTGAGACACTGGAACAGGTTTCCCAAGGAAGTTGTGGAAGCCCCATTCATGGAAGTCTTCAAGGCCAGTTTAGATGGGGCTTTGAGCAACCTGATCTAATGGGAGCTATCACTGCCCATGGCATGGGGGTGGGAATTAGATGATCTCAAAAGTCCATCCAACTCACACCATTCTATATAGGATTGTGCAATCTCTTTGGTTTTGTCTTTCCTTTTTTTTAGAATTGGCTTTTAGTTCACTAGAGGTACATATAAGGGAGCAGAGGAATCTTGAGGAGCTCACACAAATGTATCACAGAGTGAAAGTACAAGAGGGGTGAACATTTCCTTGGTTGTGCTCTGCACTAGATGAGTTGCTGAAGTAGTGAGAGACTCTTGATTTGGAATAATGGGTGATCTGCATGTGTTTAACTCCAGGAGAAAATTCTTCTCTTCAGTATTTCAGGTTGCTTTTAAATTTTTTTGTATTATGTCATTTTGATTACTTTGTCACAATTGTAAACAAAACTGGAATGAACTGTTTGTGTTCACTAGCAAACCAGACAAATATTCTTTATAAAATACAATATTTTAAAGCCTTTTAATGCTTTTATTGCAGTTACATCATCTGTATAAAATACACTTGTTTTTATACGTTATTTTTACAGTGACTCAGAGGAAAACACATTTCTAGATTTACATCTGGTTAATAGCTTGTCTTCTCACAAATATTTGCAAATAACATGTTGCATCCTGATTTGTACACTGAAATGAAAGAGACAACTAAAACTGCCACCAGTCTTCCAATTTGCAGTTAAATTCCCCAGCGCTCTAGACTGATCCTGTAAAATGTAGTTTGGCAGAGGGCTGCTGCATGGGGACAATATTCTAGTGGTGCTCTCTTTCTCTTTAGCTTAATACTTTGAACACGTATTTCTTCAGTGAAACATCAATGTGCACCATCTGCAGGGCAAATTCTCTTTTTTTTTATTATTAATGGCTTGATGATGTACTTTGGGTTGATAATAGCATCACTATGCTGCAGTGTAGTAAAATAGGGACCATGAAGATGATCAGAGGGCTGGAGCATAAAGGGCTGGATCACCTTTCCTGTGAAAACAGACTGAGAGTGTTAGGGTTGCTCAACCTGCAGATGAGAAGGATGCAGGGAGACCTCATAGCACCTTCCAGTACCTGAAGGGGCTACAAAAAAGCTGAGGAGGGACTTTTTACAGTAGCATGTCATAAGAGGACAAGGGGTCATGGATTTAAACTGGCAGAGGGGAGATTTAGGTTAGACATTAGGAAGAAATTCTTTCCTGAGAAGCTGGTGAGACACTGGAACAGGTTTCCCAAGGAAGTTGTGGAAGCCCCATTCATGGAAGTCTTCAAGGCCAGTTTAGATGGGGCTTTGAGCAACCTGATCTAATGGGAGCTATCACTGCCCATGGCATGGGGGTGGGAATTAGATGATCTCAAAAGTCCATCCAACTCACACCATTCTATATAGGATTGTGCAATCTCTTTGGTTTTGTCTTTCCTTTTTTTTAGAATTGGCTTTTAGTTCACTAGAGGTACATATAAGGGAGCAGAGGAATCTTGAGGAGCTCACACAAATGTATCACAGAGTGAAAGTACAAGAGGGGTGAACATTTCCTTGGTTGTGCTCTGCACTAGATGAGTTGCTGAAGTAGTGAGAGACTCTTGATTTGGAATAATGGGTGATCTGCATGTGTTTAACTCCAGGAGAAAATTCTTCTCTTCAGTATTTCAGGTTGCTTTTAAATTTTTTTGTATTATGTCATTTTGATTACTTTGTCACAATTGTAAACAAAACTGGAATGAACTGTTTGTGTTCACTAGCAAACCAGACAAATATTCTTTATAAAATACAATATTTTAAAGCCTTTTAATGCTTTTATTGCAGTTACATCATCTGTATAAAATACACTTGTTTTTATACGTTATTTTTACAGTGACTCAGAGGAAAACACATTTCTAGATTTACATCTGGTTAATAGCTTGTCTTCTCACAAATATTTGCAAATAACATGTTGCATCCTGATTTGTACACTGAAATGAAAGAGACAACTAAAACTGCCACCAGTCTTCCAATTTGCAGTTAAATTCCCCAGCGCTCTAGACTGATGTGCAGATGTTTTTAAGGCATTTTTGTTTTAATGCTGCAAGAACACAAGAAAACTCTTGTCAGAAGAGGTTATGCAAGGAAAATATTTACAAGATATCTAAAGGTTAAATAATTTATTTATTTATTTAAATCCTTTTGAAAAATCACTTATCAGATAAAATAGCTATGTGATGAAAGACAGCAAATGCTTCGGATGTCTCAAATATTTGTTATGCCTATGTATAAGGTTTGAAGACATATGAAGAGAAAATATACTTACTGTGGGAGTAAGCAACTCTCTTGGCTTTTTCACACACATAATTTGCATTTTTCAAGAACCAGGAATAGTATTCAACACAGTACCTAAAGGTGCAGTTAAAGTTAGGAGAGCAATAACTTGTGGTCTTTCATAAGCCCAGCTGTATGCATGTCATGCTTAAAATACTGAATATGGAAATAAATTATAGATTCTGACTTCAATGATGTCATTAAAGATTTGGAAAAATTCAACTGAGCTTTATTCACTTAGTTTGAACACTGGAAGCTGGATGAGGTATTGATTGGTGCACTGGAAACCCATTTGGGTCTCAGCCAGTAGCCACAGCCTCTCAAAAATAAGTCTTGGTGAATATAAAATTGTCATCTAAAAAAGCCCAATGGTGAATTTTAAGCAGAGAGAGACGGAAACTAGTGGCAGCTTTTACCTCATGGCTTCCTTTCGGGAATATCTCCTCCCACCAACACAGAGGCACAGCTGAAAAAACCTACACAGCTCCATCACACAGGGGTTGATCTTTTGCACTATCAGGGTGACAGGTGGAGAGGTCACATGGGACTCTTGGAGGAATGCCTGAGGACACCCTAGGAGAAAAAACAACTGTGGAGTAGTTCACATACTTGTTCCATTACATTTCTTGCAATGCCTTATCTGGGCTACGAGAAACATGCAGATCAATAAGATCATGTAAGTATCTGAAGATCAAATCTGCATGAGACAGCTGTAAAGAAAACAACATGCAGCCTGGTAGCTGCTTGAGTGTAGAGTGGGCAGTGGGACTTGATGATCTTGAAGGTCTTTTCCAATCTTGATGATGCCTATATGATTCTATGAAATCATAAATATTCTGTTCAATGTCTTATTATTCATGGTTACTGGTTAGCTACTTAAAACCATATTGCTTTTATTTGACACAAATGTAAGGAACAATTGTAAAGATGTAATTTATTTATTGTTACCAGTTTAGGTGGAGATTCAGTTACCACTGAAGCATTAATTTTCCACAGTGCAGAACAGCAAGACAAAGAGCAGCGCTGTACACTGATGGTATTTGATATTTTCAATATGCATATACTACTTCAATGAAAAAATTCACTTCCAGTTCCACATGCTTCCCTATACACACCCTCTAAATATGAATCCTGGATTAATATGGCTGAGCTAATAAACACTCTCACTGTTGTCTCCATTACTTTTTTTAAGCCTCACTAACAAAATAAACATGATCTATGTGGAGGTTATGGCTTTCTCTCTGTCCATCTCTCCATCTGTCTCCTTCTTCCTCCTAGTGACTTGAATAACCAGCTAACTTATAGAATCATAGAATAATAGAATCATTAAAGTTGGAAGGGACCTGAAAGATCATCAAGTTCCAACCCCCCTGCCATGAGCAGGGAACCCCACCACTAGATCAGGTTGCACAAAACCTCATTCAACCTGGCCTTAAAAACCTCCAGGGATGGGGCATCAGCAACCTCCCTGGGCAACCCATTCCAGTTCCTTACCACCCTTATAGGGAAGAATTTCTTCCTAATATCTAACCTAAATCTCCCCTCTCTCAGTTTAAAACCATTACCCCTTGTCCTATCACCATCTTCTCTGGTGAAAAGTCCCTCCCCAGCTTTCCTGTAGCCCCTTTCAAGTACTGGAAGGTGCTATAAGGTCTTCCTGGAGCCTTCTCTTCTCTAGGCTGAACAGCCCCAACTCTCTCAGCCTGTCTTCATAGCAGAGCTGATCCAGGGCTTTGATCATCTTGGTGGCCCTTCTGTGGACCCTCTCCAACAGGTCTATATTCCCAGTTTTTAGGAATATTTTAAGATCCTCTGGATAAATGTCTTCCTACAGCTTTCATAAAAACTGACAAGTAGCTGGAGAAGAAAAGGTCAATTTTTGCCTGCACTGAGAGGAAGATAGAAATAACTTCTCCATTTTATTATTTGTTTACCAGGTGACAAATTGTTAAACAGTGTTTTTCTCCTTCAAGTGACCACCATTATATTATTTGAGCTTAAGAAAAAGCAGAGAGGTTGTGTACCTGGGGATGAAGCCCTCTTCCCTTCTCTTGAGCCAACTAAAAGGAAAATATCTAGTTTACTCTATTCATTGAATCTCCTGCCTTCAGCAGCAAGATGTAAACATTTACACACCAAACATTTCATCCCCAACAGCAGATGCAGCTGTGTCAGAAAATGTAATACTACAGAATAGGAGGTGGCAGCTTATAACAAAATCCTCAGTGTCAAATACAATCTCTCTTCTGACTCCCTTTCTGTTATAAAAAAGAGAAAAGAAAGTAAGGTGAAAATTGGAGAAATTGAGAAAAGGTGAGGCAAAATTGAAGCTGTTTTCAGGACTTTTCACCATATTAAGTGAAAAATCTAACATTTGCCATAGTCTTTTTTTTCTCCAAACCTGTCACACATCACCTTGCACCTTGGCTAACAAGTGTGTTAAAATGGGTCAGAATCCAAGGACTTGCTAGAAAAAAAATTGTATTATTTATAATATGCGAGAAGGCTATGAGAGCATGGCTGAAATAGGTGTGTAACTACCTCTCCTTTGCATATATAATACCTTGGTCTGAAAAGGAGTTGCTGTGTATGAGGGCACATGTTGGGTGGCTACAGTGAAGCTGCCTCCCCTGTGAGGTGTCATATCAGACCCTGGGGAGCTACCAGCACACACACAGTGTGTGTGTACAACACCCCTTTCAAAGGGATGTCTCCCCTACACAAGCACTCCAAAAAACAAGGGACATCCCTGCAAACACCACACTGGGACTTTGAAGAGGTGATCAGGGACCAGGCTTCATGTTTTGCGTGAAGTGGGTGTTCCCCTCGCATGCACCCATCACGGTTGAAGAGCCCCTGTGTGGCTGTTGACTGGCTTTTCCATTTGTGTGACTGGCAGCAGGCTTTGGCCATGTGTAGATAAACTGCTTTACCTGCAGAGCATAATCCTCTTAGACAGAGTAATTGCATTTCCAGGCTCACATGTCTCACATGCTTTATAGCTCTGGGCCGTCTCATGTTATGTGATAGGAGAGGTTACGGAGGTGAAATTTGAACTAATGAAGTTCTGTTGAAATAAGCTTGAGTTGCCTAGTGCTGACAAGGAGTTTAATATAAAATGGCATTCATGGGCAGGAGGAAAATAAAGGCTCTGCCAACCTGAAAGAGATTGCTACAAAACTATTTATCTTCTGCCAGTGTTCGCCCAAGGCAGCCAGTCATGGAGGAGTAATGGGCAATGCCCAAACTCCTGAGCTCCTTTGAAAACCTGTCAGGTGTCAAAGGTGCTACACAAATATCAGGAATAATTAGTCAGGGATGGGCAAAAAGGACCACAGTTTCTCTTTATCTTAGCACCTTTGCATAAATGTCATTAGGCTTTGTACACTTAATAGCTTTTTCTACACCTTAATTTTTTTTTCCACTCAATGGCAATTAAAAGTTAATTATTTTTTGCTTTAACAAACACTTATTGTGTTAATCACTGAGCATCAGAGCATGAGGCAATGAGGTTTTAGCTTGAGTTATCCCTGAAAAGTAATGTTTGAGTTGCTGTGAATAATTAAACTTTGCTAAGGCTGCACTCCAAAGAATCTCTCTCTCCACTGAAGTGAATGCTCACTATCCTGCCAAGCAGGTGTGAAATGCTTTACTCAAGCCATGTGTGTTGCCAGCAGAAATTCTACTTTATCTAACAGTAAATTAAACAAATGCAATTTCTATTTGGATCCATCTGTGTGGGAAAAAGCTGTCAAGTACAAAGCTGAAAGTTAAACAAGCTGCTTTGGTTTTCATTTTTGACAATCATTTGATTTTAAATTAATACTGCATTTGCATAATAGTATATGTATTTAATGCTCTAATTCTTTTTCAATTAATGTTGTATTTAATTTTATTTGGATTGGATATTCACATAATGTTGAAATTAAAAAATTCAGTGCTTTATAGTAGTGCTTTCTATCTCTTATGTAATAATTTTTTTATGGTGGAATGTTTTGCACTTTTTAAATTAAATTCAGAAGTTCGTACAGATGTGGATTAAAAAAAAATATTAAAAATATTAAAAGTAGTAATTTATTTCAGAACTTTCTTTTCCAAGCATTTTCTTTCCTAAGAAATGGAATCAGTCAAAAGAGGCCAGAAAATACAGGAACCACAGCTCCCTGTGCAGAGCTTTGCTCTTGGTGATTTGAAATTACCATGTTACTCTCACGGGCAGGTAAGTGACAAATCCTTGCTGCAGAAAACAGACTTTTCCATTATTAACTCAATATCACATCTCTCTGACACTGAGATTAAATTTTGCTGCCAGTGAAAAGTCATGTTAGGGCTACTGTGAGGAATCCTCCCTGTGTGCTCTCATGCACATTTGCCTATTTTATTAGATGGGATCCATTTCTGTGATTTAAGAAAAGACTTCTTGGAATAATGTCTCAGGCTTCAGAGCACTGTGGTGGTTCTTCTTTTCTTTGTGATTCGACTGTTAGATTTATTTCCCCTAATGCATGATTGATATAAGTAGGTAGACAGCTTCTGCCATCATGGCTTTTAATAGAGAGGCATTTAGTGACCTTCTATTTTCTGATCTCATTGAAATCCATGTTTCCAAGCCATTTCAAATGGGCTGGTTCCTAGTCCTAATTTCTCCCAGATCTGTAGTGTTCCCCACCAGAGAGCAACTAGCACATGAAGAAACTCTGGACTGTGCACACCATGAGTCCAGTCACACACTCCAGTTGACTGGTTGCTATTTAATCCTCAATTTGCACTGACCCAAAGCAAGCAAGACATGCAGAGAACTTTGGTTTAATGAAGAATTTTTTGATGTATGACAATTAGCATAGCATAGTCCTTTGTTTCCAATCAAGGTAAGAAGACCTAGTTAATCTTAAATTCTTCTCTTCACACCATCAAAAGTATCAAGAAGTCAGACTGGATTAATGTGATATGACGTGAGGAAAAACTACTGTGAGGGTGACAGAGCACTGGAACAGGCTGCCCAGAGAGGTTATGGAGTCTCCTTCTCTGGAGACTTCCAAGACCCTTCTGGGTGTGTTTCTGTGTGCTCTACCCTAAGTGTTCCTAGGGATTTCCAAAATTCCCTCCAGCAGTCCTCATCACTCAGCCAGACTCATTCCCTCTCTTCTGTGGTAGCAGCAGAGTCAACTTCAACAGGGCAACCATGAACAGCCTCTTCCCAGAGCATCCCATGAGCCGCTATCTCCATCACAGCTCTCAGCAGTCACACTATCAAAATGCTGCTCTAATGCCAGGAGACCCTGGAACTGATCCATCTGCTGATTTGGAAAACTGGGGACCATTTTTTTCCTTTTGAGTTTTGAGCTGAGCACAGTCATTGCCCCAGTTTCATGTCCTAGAGGTGTTTTCACACCAACCTCAGTGGTAGATACCAAATTTCTCTTCTCTTCTCTCCCTAGAATGATTATGCTGCACTGACCAGCTGATATTCACAATCAGATGTCTACAGGATGGGGTGCATTTTACCTAGTTTTAGATGTCCTAGTTTTAGATTTCCCTAGAGCTGAACTAGTCATCTGCAGTCACCAGGACTTGGATTTGTGGCAGGGATTTATTCCCTTTGTGCTGCTGAGCTCTGCTCTTGTTTTGCACATCTGGGTGTTGGTAACCTGGACTCAGATACACACATGCTCAGCATTCTAAGAAGGTGCTTCCAGAGTTTAGACTCCCCTTCTAACATTGAATTAAGTCCATTTTTTCAAAGCATTTAATCTCTGACTAATACTGACATGTAAATAGAATTTCATTGCCAAGATGAATGTCTGATACTTACAAGTGGAGTGACACCACCATATATTTGCTATGCTGAGCTCTTGAGTTCTAACCCTTTGTTTTAGTGTTTATAAGGAAGAATTGATCTTTCCTGAAAACCTGGTTGATACTGATCCTTCTTTATCCTAGAAAGAAGTTTGTAGTATTTAAAATTCAGGGCAATTCTGTAGGCTTCATGGGACATGGATTGATGTAACAATTTTATTTCTACAAATATGGAGATTTAAAGCATGATTCATTCCTCTGGAATAAATGGATGTTATTATTCTCCAGAAGCCAATCCATGTGAAAATTGACACACGGAGTACATATGTTTGTTCTATCATCATAGCAGAATTTATGTTTTGAATGTGTGATTGTGTCTGGTTCACAAAAAAATATGGTAGCAGTCCCTTAGACATTTTGGGTGTTTAACATACACGAGATATCATGTAAATTAGACATGTCTGTTGTTTAGGCTTGGCAAAATTTGCATAGTCACATAATTCCAAGCATACTACTGTTTTTTGTTGTATGACTTGCAGCTACTTACTGGTAGCTGAGTAAAGTTTCAATGTGGCCCCAGGCCTGTAGGGTGGTGTGGGCAGCACTGAAGAAGGCAAATCTGAAGGAAAGAAAAGAATACAAGTTGCCTTGATATAATGGGGAAAAAGAGCTGAGCTCACAGATAACTAATAAACACTTACATTGTCATTGATGTATAAATATATTCAAAGTCACATTACTATAGCCAGTTCTCACTATTGTGTCCAGTTCTGGAGCCCACAACACAAGAAGGACATGGAGAAGGTCCAGAGGAGGGCCACAAAGATGATCAGAGGGCTAGAGCACCTCTGCTATGAGGACAGGCTGAAAGAGTTGGGGCTGTTCAGCCTGGAGAAGAGAAGGTCTCCAGGGAGACCTCATAGCACCTTCCAGTACCTGAGGGGGGTACAGGAAAGCTGGGGAGGGGCTTTTTAAAAAGGTGTGTAGTGATAGGACAAGGGGTAATGCTTTTAAACTGCAAGAGGTGAGATTTAGGTTAGACCTTAAGAAGAAATTCTTTAGTGTGAGGGTGGTGAGGCACTGGGTCAGGTTACCCAGGGATGTTGTGGAAGTCCTCTCTCTGGAAATGTTCAAGACCAGGTCAGATGGGACTTTGAGCAACCTGGTCTAGTGGGAGGTGTCCCTGCCTATGCAGGGGAGTGGGAACTAGGTGATCTTTAAGGTTTCTTAGAACCCAAACCATTCTCTGATTCCAGGGTTCTATGATGTTATTTTCTATTTCATATCTGTACCAAATGACAGACCAATCTCACCTGTCTCTGTTTGCATCAGTTTCCTGGTTTCTTGAGGAGACACTGTCTGCATCCAAATTGCAGACATGTCACCTATGGGAACAGAAAGACACATGCTTCATGTAATTCAGAATAACTGTTATTTATGTTTACCAAGAAGCACTGCTATTTATAAGACAGCTCAGTAGTCAGGGTCCCTCACCCATTGCTCCCACTAGCATATAAAAATGTCATGATGGAAAAAGAAGGACAAAAGCTGTACTTGCTAGACCTTGAAAAGTCTATGGGCTAGGGAAAGGAAGGACTTCAAGAATGTATGTTTAGTGGAGACCAAGAGAAGCAGCTCTACTCATCTAATTTGGAGCAAAATGTGAGTGAAGACCTGGGTGTCAGAGGTTTCTGTGAGGAGCAAAACCTACTTTTTGCCCAAAGGGTAAAAACAAGAGATGTACCCTCTAAATTATTTTAACACTTCTACAATAAAAAAAATTTAAAAATAAATTGACAAGCCAGTGGCCCAGAGTGGGTCTCCCTGAAGGGCTTCCCAAGCTCAGCCTTAGAGATGTGGTTTCAGCTTTTGGCCAAACCCCAGCAGACAAAGAGGGTGCCAGTTCTCCACACCTGGGCTGGGCTGCAGGGCTGGCAGTGGGGCCCGGCTCCCCCCAGCACTTGGAGGGGCTCCAGTTGTCCCTCGTGGTCTGGAAACATCCACATTGGGTGATGGAAACCTTGATCCTTTCACCCCAACCGTCTTTGGCCATGGTGGGAAAGTCATGGTGGGGATTTCTGTCCTTTTCAGGGCAAGAGGGATCCTGGTAGCTGGAGAAGCAGGAGAGACAGAGACAGAGGGAGGACACCAGCAACTTGCTGCAGATACTGGTGCCCCACAATGGGGAACGATAATATCTAAAATACACCCAGAAAATCCCATCTATTCCTCAGTGCTCCCCCTGGTTGGTGAGCAGCCACCTCTCCATTTTAAATACAGCAGCACAGGAAGTACCAATAATGCTTCAAATTTTAATTGAGAACATTTTAACGTGTGAGTTTTTAAGAACAAAAAAAATGAAACTGAAACATTCCTGCCAAGTGGTGGGTTTTTTTCCTTCATGTAAATTATTTTTTATTTTCTAGAAGAAGATGAAAGCTCTTGTCTACACAAAGGGGAGCAGGCAGGTACTAGAGGACAGCTACTGGAATTTGGGAACTGATGACATTTCTGACAAGAGTGATACCTGGGGGGCGTGCAGAGATAATAAAGGTTGCTATGCTGTCGAGCAAAATAAAAGAGCTTATAAAAAGACAGTAGACTGCCTGGGAAAAACTTAGACATTTTGTTATATATATGAAACTGCAGTAATGAGGAGGTATGAAGTAAAAGTCTGAATTTCTTCGTCCTTCTGCTGTGCAAAAGCAAGTGTGAAGATTGTTTTTTCCATCATGTAGCCTTGAAGAAAGCTAAATGAATGGAAGCTTACAAAATGTTCAGGTGCTTAAAACTGAATGCCTTTTGTTTTTTTTTACTTCCCTACATCCTTAAGGAATTAGTTTCCTAATAAAATGCAAGAACAATTGTTTTTTTATAATAGTTTTTTTTTTTTTTTTTATTCTTTTTTTTTTTTTTTTTAAATTTGCCATCTATTTGGTGCATTACTGACCTGATCTGCTGCTGTTTAGGAGAAAATTTTATCTTACTTTATGATTGTTGTTCAGCATCACAGCTCTGCAACATGATCACTTAGCAAGGTGTTAATCAAGAAGAATGTAAATTTCCATCTGACAATACTTGCTCACTTTTGAATGTCCACAAGTGTTCTGCTGATGGATCCTCTGTTTGGTTTGAGTCTTCCTGTGATTTCATGAAACTTGAAAAAATGGAGTCTACATCTTTGAGGTAGGAGAAGGTAAAGTTAGTGTGCTCACCATCCATTGCATATGGTGTGATAAAAATAGGTTGCACTTACACTAATATAAAATAATGATCTATTTAATAATAAACAATAACAATACATAACTATGTACAAGTAATATTAAGAATAAAAAAATAATACTTTAACATTATTTTGACATGATGAGGATGGAGTATAAATTGCAAGCACTATCTTGACATGTTTCTCATTGTTGCTGCTGTTTCCCTTTGTTCCCCAGGATGTACTTACCCAAATCAGATATGTTACTGGAAAGTGTGTAATTAATAACAGGAGACTTCTCCAGTGTTTCCCAAAAGTCAGGTAGATTTCTCCCTGCAAATAGAAACACGTACAAATATCCAGAAATCCTTGATTCCAGTGTAAGTTGTCATTTGAAAATAGAGCAGTATCTTGGGGCTGAATGGTTTTGAGGTTTACCTGTCTGCCCTGTCATCACACAGATGTAGATACAATCTGAATCGTTGCTCTGACGCACTGAAAGGTAAAACAATGTAAACCAGATCATTGTTACGAGTTTTCATTATATGGTATTGTTTTAAACAGTTGAAGACACAAAATGGTCTGTGGCTGCTACCACTGGCGAAATATTTTCCTTCTGATCTGCTTTTTGGCAAAATCCTTGAACCAATACCAAATTTAAATGCTCATATTTCCAGGAATAATGTTTCCATCTAATTAAAATTCTAAATTATAAGCAATTTTACATGGAAAAAAAAAAGATTCCTTAGATAACATAGCCCATCACTATTCCTTGAGAGACATAATACCCCCCAAAATAAGTATTTAATAATAATATAATAAACTTTCAAACAAAATATAGTTGCTCATAGAAACATATATGTCTCTATATTACATATATACACATGATATATGTATTTTGTTCCCTTATGGAGACTGTTTACAAGAAATCCATGCTTTGCAAGAAATATGCTGCTGAATAAGAGAAACAGGCCTTTACTCACATTTCTATGCTTGTTTCCAGTGGAAATATAAATCAGACAAATAAGACAATGATAAATGTTAAAAGGAAATGCAAACCTGAGAGAATAGAAGTGGATTTGAAAATTTCAGTAAGATAACTGCTGGAGTTTCCAATAACATCAACAAGCAAAGCTGTAAAATCTAGATAACAAAACAGAAAATGTTCGTTTATTTCATCAGAGAATATAGTGATAGGACAAGGGGGAATGGTTTTAAACTGAGAGAAGGGAGATTTAGGTTAGATATTAGGAAGAAATTATTCACTGCAAGGGTGGTGAGGAATAGGAATGGGTTGCCCAGGGATGTTGTTGATGCCCCATCCCTGGAGGTTTTTAAGGCCAGGTTGGACCAGGTTTTGTGCTACCTGGTCTAGTAGAAGGGTTCCCTGCTCATGGCAGGGGGTTGAAACTTGATGATCTTTAAGGTCCTTTCCAAACTTAATGATTCTATGATTCTATTCTATTCTATGAAAACACATATTCTATCATCTATGCTAAGTAAAAAAACCCAACACTTTGATATGTGATCATATTTTGTATTAATGCTTGTGACAATGCTTAAAATATTTAAAATTCAAAAGATTTCTGTGGAATGGAAGTGGACTTAGGAAGTCATTGGAATGCCCTGCAGAACTGTATTTCAAATATGACATCCAAAATAGAACCAATATGCCTAAAAGCAAACTTATATGGAATTTGTCTGTTCAAGAGAACAATTTAAAGAAGATTCTACTTAGTCTGCTTAAATGTAAAGGAGACCCAAAGGCTGTAGACTTTGCATGTACTAAATGCTTGTCTGTCATGTAAGACCTCCCAGGAGACAGTTGGTGGTCTCCTTTGGGGTCTACTTCAGACATACCCATGATGTTGTTGTTTTCAGCTCAAAATCTTGCTAGTGGTGGTATGATGTCTCATAGCAGGTTCTAGTTGTAACAGATCAGTGTTCTCACTTAAGGAGTTACAGACATGAAACCTGTGTTGGGACCTCAGTTTTTACTGCATGGGAGGATGCTCTAATTACCACAATATTCTGGATTTGGGGAAGAAAGATTTAAGTTTCTCCACTAACCTCTAAAGCAGACCAGGTTGTTATACTCTAAGGCTCACGAGATATGTGAGTCCAGAAAAAAACATGAAAGCCATTGTGGCTCATGTGTGTGGTCTAATTCTGGTCCCTAGCTGCTGAGCTGCTCTTGATATCTTACAGTAACCAGCCAGAGAATCAGAGCACTCAGACCCATCCTGGAATGCTAAATACACTGAGATTAGGGATGTGAATGAGGATTAACCATGAAGGAATTGCCCAACAGCATTTTACATGCCATTAAACAGTCCTGTGGAGACATTCATCCTTGCTTTTCACTACTGTTGGGTTCATTGAAGTTACTGGACTGTCTTGGTGTAGAGTCCTGACATACACAGGAGATGCTAAGGTCATGTATCATATATTGCCAGGTTATCTCTCCTGCACTGCTCTTTGTACCCAGAGGAGGAAAGGAAGGTTTTTCCACTGGGGTCAACCATGCTGGTCACTGGACTGATGGCTCCAGCCCAGCCTGGATGGCTGGGTGCAGCCAAGTGTGACTGAGTTCATCAGGTCTCCCCAGGGTTCAGAGCAGCCAGTTGTGAGCAATGGCTGTTTTCCTCAGTACAGTGATGTTGCTCATAAGGATGAACCCTGAAGAATTTGGGCTGCAGCTTTAAGCTACAAAGGAAATCATTCATCTTAAGCATATGCAATTCCCAACCTCTCTTTTGTACCCACCTGTCAAGTCATTTGTCACATTGTTCACACAGTAGCAGTAATGCATAGGGAACTTGCCAGGGTCAACATTTTTTATGTTAGATACTGTAGGGAGAGACAGAGACAAATCAGGATCTGGATGCACAGGCTGTGTGAAAGAAAATGCTCCTGTGCAGAGTGAAGCACCGAGACACTCACTGTTATAGACGGTGACTGAGATTTTGTGGAAGGCAAACGAGCTGTAAGATGTGACACTCAGCAAGGAGAAGAGTTTTTTGGTACCTGCAGAAACACATGTCTGTGGTATTAGTGGTTGGAACAAATTATGAGAACAGCATGTTTGGACTCTGCTCCTTTCATTTCTAACAGACTCCTGAGGTGCTGATATTATACAGCTGCCTGAAACTCAATCCTTTCTCATTTCCACTGAAGGAAGGATCATTTGTATTAGTTATCTTTTTATTTATTTATTTTTAAATTTTAATTCAACCTACACTGGATAATAAAGTGCTTTCTAAAGTCATCCCACAAATAATTGCATATGTCTATATTTAAACACACACACAATCATATTTCTACATTCTTTGGGGCAGGCAGCTATCTGAATTATAAATGCACAAGGGTAACCTGCTCCTGGAATATATTCTGGAGGCAGACAGGGTGTAGTTATGGCTTCTCCTGTGAACAACATTAGCCCTTTATCTCACTGACCAGGTTGGCAGCCTGGCTGACATTCCCAGGACCTGGGCATTACCTCTGAGTGTCGTGTTCAACATGCTGTTCACCAGCTCTGTCAGGTTCAGAGAAGCCAAATCCACCGACTTTGCAGGCAGCTCTGAAAATAAAAAAGGGGGTCTCTGAGCAGCTGGATGCAAGAGGGCATTAGAAAATAGCTGTTAATCTCCTGCTTATGCAGGGCAAAAATCCTCCACAATGGGAAAACCAAAATGAGCAGATGAGGTACCAGGGTTCTCCCAAAAACCTGTCGTGAGAAAATAAGATAAACAAAAGAAGAGAGAGGATCCTGAAGAACAGCAAGATCAAACAGGCAGTGCAACGTTAGGTCACAATTCATGTCAAGCTCTATGTCATCTCTTCCCTTGACCTCACCCTTGAGCAGGTTGATAGGAAGCTGCAGCTTCCTGACCTGTTGGTGCCCTCTCCTGCTGGGCAAGGGGGTATTTTACTGCCAAAATTGCAGCAGCTCTGTCTGCAGATCATAAACAGAGGAGAAAGAGCCTAGGAAATGTTCCTCCTTCCCCAGGACTACATGGAACAGAGATGGAAATACTGATTTCATTTGGGTTTAGCTACCTTGATGGATATACTGATTCCACTGAATAAATCGACTGCCACTTTTTATTTCAGAGATGTTTTCCTTCTGTTGATGTAATTTGTTTTTCCCTAGTCAAAATCTCTGAAGTGGCTCTTCTACTTCCCTCCAACAAAGTCATGAAGATGCAGAGCTCTGTGTGTGTGAGTGAGGAGGAAGGTCTGTATGTGTATGACAGAGAGAGAAAAAACAGAGCAGGATGGAAAAAGAAGCACAGAAAGCCAAGATGAGAGCAAAATTGAATTTGGAGAGAAATATAATTTTCCAATGACATCAATGTAATTTTAAACCAATTTTAAACAGCACCCCAGGCTGGAAGCAAGATATGTCCACAGTGTAGGGGAGAGAAAGAGGAAAACAGAAGGGAATGGAGAGCTGGGAAGAGAGAAAGGGGACAACCCCCTCCCCCAATCAACATAGTTTTATATTCCTAGAAGGACGGAGGGTATACTGGCCAGGGACCTGGATAAGCCCCTTGCAGGGTGAGGAGCCCTTGCTGGTGGGTTGGAGCTCACAGACTCTGCAGGAGAAGGGCCCATCTGCCACCATCTCTGTGTCCAGCACAGTGGCTTCCACTCCCATTAACACCCACAGAGGGTCTCCTGAAGTGCTGTGTCTCACCTGCAGTAGCCAGCACTGCCAGTTGCTTCTCTTTCTTCTGTTCTCTTCTCAAGCTTGAACCTGTGAAGTGAAGCAAGAGACTGAGAAACAGTTTTCCCTGTTGAGCTACCACACAGCTCTCTGTTGAAATCTCTGCCTGGGTTACTTTGCTGGTCTCATCTCTCTAGTTTGGAAACCTATGGACACTGGCACTGCAAAGCCAGCCACTAGGCGTCCACAAGAGTAGCCTGATCAAGTGGCTAAGAACAAGGAAGTCCTGAAGGACTTGCCAGGTTCTTCAGCTGCCAGCAAAAGAAAGAAAACAGATTAAATATCAGAGCTTTACCACTTCACTCAAGCATCAAAAGACAAAACAAAATTGTTGTAAACTGCTGTAGGGGTCTGCACTAGGTTTGCACACATCATTGTTTGCAAGGCACATAGTGTAAAAAGGCCAAACCTAAACAAACCTCCCCAGCCTGGCTGCATGTTTGCTATTCAGAACACTAATTCAAATTAGTACTGTTTGCAAGAGCTGTGCTGTGGGAGTAATGAACTGGAGTAGAGCTCAGGAGATTGCACCTGCTCCCTGGGATTCTCTCAGTGACAAAAAAGGGCAAGGTTCAGAGTGGTGACTTAGATATTAGAGAACAAGTTCAAGTGCGGGAACTTGGTTGCTTAGGCTCCCTACCTGTGGAGACCTGAGTACCTCCAAGGGGTAATCCACAAGGTTCCCCAAAACATAGAACAACAGAATCATTTAGGTTGGAAAAAACCTTGAAGGTCATTGAGTCCAACAGTTAACCCAGCTCTGGCAAGTCTACCAGTAGAACATGGCCCCAGCCACCACATCTACATTTCTTTTAAATACCTCTGGGGATGGTCACTCCACCACTTCCCTGGGCAGCCTGTTCCAATGCCTGACAACCCTTACAATGAAGAATTTTTTCCTAATACCCTACCTATACCTCCCCTGGCACAACTTGAGGCTGTTTCCTCTTGTCCAATCACTTGTTACTTGGGAGAAGAGACCGACAACCCCCTTTTGCTACCGTATCTTTTTGGGTAGTTGTAGAGAGCAATAAGGTCTCCCCTCAACCTCCTTTTCTCCAGGATAAATCCCTGTTCCCTCAGACTCTCCTCACAGGACTTGTTTTCTAGACCCAACACCATCTTCTTTGCCTTTCATTGTTGAGCCAGTGCTAGCAAATGCTGAAGGCCTCTCTGAAGCTTCTCAGAAGTCCTTTCCTGGTAGCTGATGGCAAGCAGCACTCACTTTAGTGGCAGTGATGTCCTTCTCTGAATTATAACATGATGGGCAGAGCTCTCACCAGGGAGCAGGGAACCTAGGTTCAGCCTCCTCTTCCCCAAGAGGAAAACTATAGGACTGAAGCAACAGAAGAAAGAGGAGGTGTGACTTCATGATGTGGCTGCTTGTTCCTAAACTAGTGAAACCAGTGTGTTTCTCCCTCTTTGTAGAAAAGTATGTGTCTTGTACAGAAGACAACCCAAGACACATTTCTATCTTTCCACATAAAGAGAAATATCCTATGAACAAGCCATTGTACAAGGTCTGTAAATTGTGGCTTCTCACGTTTCTCGTCAGCTCTCACTTAGTATGAGTTAAATTTGGACCAACAATCTAGGAGGTAAGAACTCTTCTAACCCTTCTCTCTCTTTCCATATAAACCCTTTTGACTCCAGATTCATGGCATGTTACCATCCAATCTGTCCTGCTGCACAGCACCAGCCCTTAAGCTCCAGGCCATCAGCCTTGTTGCCTCAGGGTGAAAGAAACAAGCCCGACGCAAATATGGGAATGGGGCTATAGGAGCAATCGGGAAAGAGACACTTGGGTTATTGCTTGGAGAGCACCAAATCATTGTCCTTACCTGTGTTGCAAACCAGAAAGAGACACAGAAATCCCAGGCTCAACTTTGCTGGCACATGCCAGCAGAACCACTGCATTGTGGACTCCAACTTCCAGCAGTTTGGACTGTTCTAGGAGAAAGAAACATTGTTTTGGTTGTGTCCAAGTTTTTGGTATTGTGTGATTTTGTCCCATGTTGTTCCAGAATGATGAGACCATGGAAAAAAGACTGGTAACTTAAATGTCTTCTTCTCTGGCAGGACAACCTGTGCCCAAAATGACAATGACAAATCAGGTTCCTGAGCCTTTTCTGTTGAAACGAGGTAAAATGTACTTGTGTTCCACTTCAGGCCAGATATCAACTGAGCTCCTGTTCTTCAGCAATGTTGCTTGCCTGGTCATCCTTAGTCTTGTATTTCTAAATTATTGTCACCAGGATGTGTCCTGTGCTGCCTTGCCTAGTTGCCTGGGAGGGATTAAGGATGCTCTGCCTTTCAGACTGAGCTGCTCTCCAGGTTTCAAAGATTCAGAAGTGGTTAGAAAAACAGAAGAAAAGTCCTCACTTCTATACGTTTCCCCTGTTTTTGTAATACCAGAACATGCCAAATAGCTCTGTAGTTGGCTGAAAATGAGGGAGATTATAAAAATTAGCCAAAAAAAAAGTCCAATTTTTTTTTCATATCCTCTCACAGTAGCTAATCTTGTAAGTAAGCAGCAAAGCATTATTTTGAAGATAATACTGATTGGTTAATAAACTACAATACTCACATTTAAATTTTTTCTCATATTTAACTCATTAGAAAATAAAAACATTCTGCAAATGTCTAATTTGTACTTAGTTTTAAAGACACTCTCCCTTATGATGATGAAATGATACCAGGCTTTTCTGTGTTTGAAATGTCTGGTTTTGCTCATCCGCTGTGTCAAAAAAAATTAGGTGCCAGTTCTGCTAACTCAAAAAAGGCTCTGAGAAGCTTTCTAGGTAGTTCAGCCCATTGATTCAGTCCATCTGCCTCATCCTTTTTACTAATCTTCCAGTCTTTATTCTTCCAAGGCTTCTGCACAGCATGTACAGGAGAGCAGGGCTGAGGCAGAGAGAAAGCCATGGCCAAATCCTGCTCCCCAGATTTCATACTCCATCATCTTTCTGTGAGCTGGACTAATTATGCCTGGACAGAGTCCAGTGTCCTGTGGACCTGTCTAGCATCAAGATATCCCAGGCTTAGTTCATTGGGATCTGACCAACAACTAAGCCACAGATCATGAATGTATTGCTAACATGAGAATCTCAGGATGGGTTGGGTGTTTGACTGAGTTCAGTGATGGGGTGATTTGCTGCTTGTTTTTTTTTCAGTTGAACCTCATATGTTTCTGGACCACAGACCTCTCCCTGAGCAAGTTCTTCCTGACTTATAGGCTGTACACAGGGTGTGATCAGGCTGCACAGCCAGTGCTGTCTTTGACCCACAGGACATCAACAGGAAATATGGTCAAAAGCAGCACTGCCACCATGTCATCCCTGCAGCATAAGGCCAGTCTTGGCTGAAGGGTCTCTGCTGCAAAAGACCTCAAATATCTACACTTTATGAGGATTGTGGAGCCCTCAAGATTGAGAGACTCAGACCTAGGAGATGGGAGGAAAAGACATCCTCTGACCCACTTTTGGTCTGTCCCTAAACATTGATGATCAGTGCTCTTGCCAGAGCGGGGAGACTTGATTTCCACCATATGCTTTGAAGAACATGGGCTCTCCTAGGACATCAGTGAATCACACTTGGACTAACACAGAAACCCTTGGTAACAGAATTTCACAGGCTGTTGTGTAAGCTGTTCTATAAAGGTTCACAAGCAAAAGGGTTGATGGCTTGCAAACCATTTCCTATCAGTGATTTAAATTCATTACTGACTTATTTAAATTGGCAGGATGAGGAAAATAATCTGACAGAGGACTCAGTGCAGTAGGATAGGGCAGGGGCTAGAGAGAGTATGGTCCCAAGGGGCAGAAAATAGGCAAGATGGACATATGAAAGATCATATAAACTACAGTATTACCTAGAAATGTTGGACCAGATGATCCTTGAGGTCCCTTCTAACCTGGTATTCTATAATTCTAGGATTCTAACTGTCCTACCAAAAGACCTTAAGACAGATAGACTGAAGAAAAAAATGAGTTGTAAAAGCAGAAACAAAATTGAGAGTGAGATAAATAGTTGTGCCTGGAAACACCCTGTGCATATTGGAGATGCTTTCTTGCTCACCTGAATTTGGAGCTCCCTGCTGTCCTCCCCACTGAGCTGCTCCCCCATACTAGCCACCACACATAATGTTCTCTGCATACACAAATGTTTTGCAGCAGGA